TCCGTGCCTGACCCCGATTAACGCTATCAACAAGATCAAGTGACATCTTATTACTCTTCACCACCTGAGTGGAGATGGATTGTTGATACAATATTAATTTCCCCGGGTCAACTCCTGTTCACATGTTTGCTAAATTGCCATATTTGGTCACTTTTGTTATTAGCAGTTTGACGCATTTGACAGCTGTCATCAGCATGAAAGTGAGATTCGAGGCCAAGGCAAAAAACCAGAGGTTTTTTCTCTCTCTCCTCTCCTCTTCGCAACTCATTGTCGCCGCTTCACGGCTCGCTCTCTCTTTCACCAAGAAAAATTTCAAGAAAATTAACCTCTAGGATCAGGGTATGAACTAAGGTAGGTGTTAAAATTTGTCTTCCGTTCTCTTTTTGTTTTTAGGTGATAAATTTTCAACTATGGTTTGCCCCTAAGCACAGCTGATTCAGCTGAGTTTCACATCTCAGTGAATAGTAGTAGCCTGTTAGTAGTAACAGGCCTCTGGCTTCCATTTCCTACACTAACATTGATAATTCAACAGTCTGCACTTTAATGCCCAATGGCTAGGAGTGTACAGTGAAAACCGTCTTATGCATCAGTCAATTCCAATTTTATTGAGTTAATCCGGCAATGTCTTTGAGGATGTTGAGACACTAGGATATGATGATAATTTCTGAAAAGGATATTTTCATCAAATTTTATGTTTGCTTGATATTCATTTTTCTTTGTGGACAAAGATGTTTAAGGTAACCTTTCCTTTGCCAACTTCTGTGTTAATGTATGTATTCTATACATAATGTTTTTTTTTTTCTTTAATCAAGCAAAATCGAAACAATGGCCTCAGTTGCTTGGTTTGGCTCTGACAGTGGAGTAAAGGCATTAGATTTTGTTTTCTTAGAGAAAAGACAATGCGATGCTGACTTCATGTTACAAACCATGCTTTTAGCAAAAAAACAATTCTTTCTGGGAAAATGATATTAGCAGGACGTGAAAGAGCATATTAAAATTATGTGACCTGTAAAGCTTCAGCTGAGTATTTCAAAAGTAGTGACTTCAGTAGTCACTGACAGTTAGATGGATTTGCCTGTATCGGGACAACTGTTGCTGCTCAGTCACAGTGAAGTGTTTTTCCATACAAACCCTTGTAAGTTTTTAATTTTTTTTAACTCTCATAAAACCTTTCCCTTATGCATTATAGGCCTAAAATTTTTCTAAGTCCATAAAAGAAGAGCCCTCTAAAGCCTCTAATTTTGTTTTTTGTTGTTGTTGTTTTTTAAGTCGTTTCGTAAAAATATAACCTCATGAACTGGTGACAGCAGTATTTGGAGCAAAGCTTCTTACAAATCCCCGCCTTTTCCCGGGTTGGCAGAGGTGGGGTTTACATTACCTCCTGCGTAACAGGTTATCAATAACAAATTGACTCTTATGTTTTTTTTAATGGAATTTGAAGATGCAGGAGAATACAACCTTTGTCACATTCTTTGCTCTTGTGTGACTGCAGCTGAAAGTTGGTTTGAGGACAATACAGCTGTAGTCTGGTTTACCCAATTCTATTTTTGTGTTTAAGTGAAAGCCAACTACCAATGTACAAATGTACTTCACTCTCAGTCTGTTGCCATAGCATGTGTTTAAGTGAAAGCCAACTACCAAGATGAATGTATTTCACTCTCAGTCCGTTGCCATAACATGATTAATTTAAGGAACCAGCAGGCTCATATACAAATCCCCAAGCAAAACCCCTAGCCCAAGGACTGATAAACAAAACATGAAAACTTCTCAATCCTCCACCCCACTGGAGAAGCAATCTCTCTCAAATGATCACTCTTCATTTCCCCAGTAAATCCTACCTTGTCCGCCCATGAAGGAAGGGAGAGGAAGAGGGGGTCCATTGATTCCTGCATTTAATATGCCAACATCTCCTTCTTCCTTTTACTTCTCAGCTGCGCTCTATAGTAATTAAACGAAAACCTAAATAGCAAAACACTAAGGAAAAAAAAGAACATTGGAGACCAATTATTTTCTTCAGGGAGATTTGCGTTGAAAGCTTTAGAGGTGAATGGCTCTTAAACTCGCTTCAGAGCATAGATACCAAGAGAAGGTCATCTTATCTTTCATAATCTGACCTCGATTATTTAAAGGGGTTCTAATGCACCTAAACAAAAAGAATGTTTCCACGTTTTGATTTAATTTTGAATCCTGGTTACAGTGTGTCTATTTTCTTAACAATCAGTTGAAGTGCGCCACATGTTAGCATGTAACTCTAACCTAACTCTAATCTTATAATCTGCAAGGGGTATATCCCATCATTGCAGATGTGCAGATGTGCATGTGCTTATGTTAAAAATACAATTATGGTGCCAATATTAAGTTTAAAAAAAACTCCTGGTGGTCAGCGTTTTTAAAGATGACACATGACAGCCTTATTGAAAGCCTCTATACTGACTGCTTTTCAATAACACTATTTGGTAAGGAGTTCCAGTCTTTGATTGTACGTGCAATAAAATTGTGTTGGTATTTGTTTGTTTTAGCACCAACTTGAATGAATTTCTTAAGGTGGAATTGCCTAGTGTCCTGTCGCCTGTCAAGTAATATATTGGGGTGGAAATTGTATAGTTGATAGACCAGAAACTACTTTAAACATTATTGTAAATCGTGCCACTTTCCTTCTTTTCTCGAGTGTTGGCCATTTCAAATCATTCAGAATTTTCGTGACAGTTCCGGGAGTGATGCTTTATTCATTTGTAACAAAACGTGCCACTCGTCTCTGCACACTCTCAATATTGAATGTGCGGGTCCCATGTACAACATCCATACTCAAGCCATGACGTCAGTTTAAGTTCCTTGAAGCTCGTCAGACAAATGCTAAGACAATTTGAAGTATTATTACCTCCGCAGGTATAGTTATCTAAATCAAAAGTTGTTAGCGGAGGAACACTTTCACTAAGAAGTGGCGGTGTATTCAGATTGTTATGAAGAATCGATTTATAGTGAATGCGCATTTAGCAAAAGACACTTGAACAGGGACTGACTTTTTTTGTTGTTTTCATAAGATTTGCGTTAAGCACAGCAGCTGTAATGGGAGGTCTAAGAGGTGACTGTCCCTTAACCTCGCTTTAGAAAAGATTCACTTTTCACGAAATCTGTCCTGGATTTTGTAAAGAGATTTAAGTGTCTAAACTAAAAAGGAAGCACAGAGAAAGGTGTCCACTTCTTTCCCATTTGAATCCTGGTTTAACGGTGTGTCTATTTTCGTAGATAGAAGTTGTCGTGCGCCGTGATGTGTACATGAAATTCTAAGAACAAACCTGACATCAACTCATCAACTTACTTTTCTTAAACCTCTTTAGAGATAACTTTCAATTTTACGTATTTGGAACTCCCAGCAGGTCTAGCATTTTAAACTAAAACTGTGTAGGTTCCCTAAAAAAAGACAATGCATTCAGTAGAACCAGTTTATGGGTGGCCATACACTGTACACTGTAGATGAGACAGATCGTTTCTCTCTGAAGATTTGCGTGAAGCTGAGAAGCTGTATAGGGATTTTTTAAGAGGTTACATCCCTATTAACCCTAGTTGAGCAAAGAAATTGCAATGCCTGTAGAAGATTCTTTTTTCTTTTTCTTTTTTTTTTTACGAAACCTCTCCTTTATTATCTTAATGGGTTTAAATAGTCCTAAACCCAAAAAAAGAGGATTGTTACAGGAAGTTTTCCACATTTTATTTTCTATCATGAAGTTGGATTTTTGTTACACGGCGTCTGCTGTCTTAACTCAAAAAATACTAACGTCAGGTCAGTTTGACGTCCTTGAACCTTAGGCTAAAACGTTCCAACAATTTTACGTATTGTGAATTCCCGGCAAAAGTAGTTATTTAAAACAAACCTAAGGTGAAAGTAAAAGTGCATTCAGTAACACAAATTTATAGTGTATCTGCATTCAATAAATAAAACTGTAACTGAGACTTGATGGTTTTTTTTCGTAAGATAATTATTATTGTAAGTTTTAAGAGGTTGGTCTAGCCTTTAACCTCGCTTTAGCGCGGGAATATACATATGCCCGAGAAGATCGTTTCGCGAAATCTGTCCTCTCGATTATTTAGAATACGTTTAAGTGTTCCTGAACAATAAGCAATAGTCAGGAAGTTTTCTCTTTTTTTTTTTCTTTTTTCACAAATTTACAGTGCTTATGTTGTAGTCAATTTTTATCTCAGGTACTTTTTATTTTTCGTTTGTTTCAACTTCATTAGCCTACATTACCATACCCCAAAACAAAAGAAAAATAAAAATTACCTGAGATAAAAATTAACTACAACATATACACAACACAAAGAAACCATAGAGCAATTGTTTCGTAAGGGAGATTTGCTTTAAGCACAGAATCTGTTTTCAAGTTTAAAGAGGTTGGAATGTTTTTCAAAAAATCTGACCTAAAAGGTTACTTTAAAAAAAAAAAAAAAAAAAGAGAAAAGAAAGAGTTTTGGCATATATTTTTCTATTATTATTTTAGCTTTCTTAGAACCTTTTTTTTTTTCAGATCAGAAATTTTGTTCATTTTTTTCTTTTCTTTTTTCCGTACTCAATCACACGCATTGTACCAAGTTGAAAACGTCTTGAAATTGCTCAGGCAAAGTACACGTTCCCTTCGTTTTATTATTTTAAGTAAAAGGAATAAGTCGGAGATTAGATTGTTTATTTTATATACTGAGAAGCTCTTTGTCGTAAATAGTGAGCTTACGGGGAACAATCTCTAAAAATTCTATTGTTATTTTCTCCTGCTAAATTATAAAATAACAACTTAAGGAGCTAATCTCACCACTCGAGTTCATTGAATCGACTGATTTGGATGAGATTAACGTACCTTTAACCGTGCGGAAAAACCAGGTTTCAAATATTATTAAGTCTTCCTCATTCCAAAACCAGTAGACTTTAAATATAGCTGCAAAGCACACCCACTAAGTATTTGCCGGAGAGGTAAGATACAGCAAGTAAAGCACAGTCAAACGTGAAGACAATGCTGGCGAAGCAAGTCTTCGTTTACTTCGCTTTTCAGGTGCTCTTTTTTCAGCTCACTAAAGGTAAGTGTCTAAGCTATTGATTGATTCTTCACTACTGATTTCTTACAGTTTTTGCAAGCGAAGAAACATTTTGTAGAATAACTTGATTACTCACGTCGGATTTAGAAAATGTTCGGGAAGATTCCACCTCACTGAGGAAAATGATCACCAGCCCACAAATTTGATAGTGAAAAATGTCTTAACCTTTTGTGTGTATATGTGCTTAAATACATGACCGGCTCATTGGAACGGTTTGTGTTAAGGTCCATTTCCAATTTGGAGTTACTTTAAGCGTGCGTTTCATTTCTGTGCAATGACTGGGTACAAGGTCGACACAGGGAACGCATAAAGATGACAGTGTTTTACTTCAATGCGGTAAACAATATTTAACTGAAGTTACTTTTTTGTGTTCTTTTGCATGTACGGTATTCAAGCTGATGTCTTTCAAACTGGGAAGGTCAATATTTCCGACACATCCCAAAACAACCATGGCTGCCAGACCGTTTCTTTCAAAACTCAGTTCCAGGGTTCTGGAGATGTAAAGGTGTTTGTAACGCTTAGCCATGGAAGCGAACATGTCAAAATCCACGACCCAGCGTCTGTTTGGGTGAAGTCAGTGTCCACATCTGGTTTTGATGCCTGCGTTCGTGAAGCAGGCAGTGGTTCTAGAGGCGCGTCTGTGATCAACTGGCTTGCCTTTCAAGGTTCGCACCAAGGTCTTGATTCAGGAATCGTTGAATTTGATGAATTCACCTCAAGGACCCGGTGCAAGAAGATATCGCTTAGTATTCAGGATAAGGTGAGATGGTAAAGTAGGTGCATTCAGTCAGTCATTTTAACATACTTACAGTTAACAAACAACCCATTTTTACTTGCACAAAATCGATCAGACATGGAAGAAGAGGTCTTGAGCCTAAAGCTACAATCGAGAATTCGGAAGTCCCATGCTTTGCTGTCATGATTTGTCACTTAGAAGGAAATTTGAAAAGTGTGACATCAGGGTTTTGTAGAATTCCAGACCGTACATTTTCATTCTTCTTTTTTTTTTTTTCTGTGTCATAGATAATTGTTCTTTTGTTATACTCTGTCTTACTTAGGCGAGACCCCAAGTGTTTGTGACTGTTCTACATAAACATTCCGACCGACCATTTGACGCCATGAATATTTGGCTAGAAGACGTCAAAAAGGATGGTTTTGTGGTTTGCTTGAGGGAGTTTATGAGCTTCGACGGCATCCATTCGGGTCTCAAAGTGGTAAGTTGAAATTAGAGAAGTCTGATGTTCACTAGCCTTTATTGCTCTTTTCGCGAATTTACCACACAGGTTTTGCGTGGCAAAGAAGTCCACCTTGGGGTAACTAAAGGGTGTTCCAGTACATGTGGCATGACACA